CCAGAAAAAAGGAAGAGAAGCATTTCCCAGCTCATGTCATGAAGCCAGAGTCCCCATGATCTAAAAACCAGACAGACAGGATGGTCCAGACCAATCTGTATCCTGAGCAAAGATGCGAAACTCCTTAACAAGATGTTAGCAAATCAAATCAGCAACAAATAACAAGAATAATGCACCGTGACCAAATGAGGTACCAGACTCATTTGATGCCTGAGATTCAGGCAGCGTGAACCATCATATCAGCAGCCTGAAGAAAAACCACATTCACATCAGTTAATATCAAAAAGCCTCCTGACACAGCCATCAACCTTCTGTGATCATGAAACCTCCCAGAATTCTGTTTAGAAAGTCATGAAAACACGCTTCTAGCATTATAATTAATGGTGAGGATCTAAATGGACTTCCTCTTGACACTGGGAACAGGAAAGGAGTCCACTCTCTCCACTCCTGCTGACTAGTAACACAAAGTCTTAACTAGCCTAGCAAGGAAGGCTCAAGTATGATTTGGTAAGGAGGAAATAAAAAAAAATTTTTTTTCACATATAACATTATTGCCTGTGTAGGCAGTATAAGTGAATCTACAGAAACAAAACAGAAAGCCAAAGCCTCCTAGAATTAATGCATTTAATGAAGTTACAGGATTCAAGAACAATACACCAAAGCCGTTATTCCTATCTCCTAATAAGCAATGGGGAATGAAAAAACTACAAAAAAAATGAACAAAAACAAAAACAAAACAAAACTCAAAACCGTCTACAATAGCTTTAAAGAATGGGAACTATTAATAAATTTAGGAAACAAAACTATAAAATATGTACCATATCTATAGCTGGAAGCTAAGCACAGTTGAAAGCAATCAGAGGAAATCCATATTAATGAACTTAGTGGATTAGAAGTCTCACTTGCTAAAGGTGTTCTCTCAGATTTTATCTATAAACCTTAACATTCCATGTGTCCTTTTCCACGTGTGTGTGTGGGGGGGAGGGGCTATAAGTTGATATCGGGTATCATCTAGAATGCTCCCCATTTATTCAGGCAGGGTCAATCAAACCTGGAGCTCACCTGTATGGCTAGTCTAGCCTCCCAGTTTGCTCTCTCCTGGGCTGGGATTACAGGTGGACTTCCAGGCACTTCCGTGAGACCTGGGGATCTGAACCCTGCTCCTCAGCCTTGCGTGACAAACATTAAACCACTGAGTCATCTCCTCAGTCCTATTGCAGGAATTTTTTAGTGATGTAGGCAAACTGCTTCCAGACTTTATACAAAATTTATTTGAAAAGGAACATAAATATCCAAAAGAATATTGAACAGCAGGGAGCTATAATTGAGATAATGTGATATTGGCAAATAGATCAATGGACAGAAATCGACATGCATAAACACAGTCTATGGAATTTTGCTAATTTGAAAATGCATTGAAATAAATAAAAAAGTCTCTTTAACAAATGGCCTTAAATCAATTGGACAGTAAAATAAAAAATAGAACTTTAAACTTTGTATAAATTTATCTCAAAATGGATCTTATAGCCAAATATAAAACCTAAAACATAACAGTTGTGTTAAGAGAAAAATTTTGGAGACTCTGGGTCAAGCAGGGCCATGGAATCCCATGCCCTGCACCTGAGAGAGGCGAGTGGCAGGGGCCTCAGGCTTTGAGTGTATGGTGTTCATCACACACTTCCAGCCAGGGCGTGACTGATGTAGGAACACATTGAGGGGCAGTGATGTCTGGGCAGAATTCTAACTTGGTCCCTACCAATGCCCCTGCAAAGTGGGCATCTTGTCGCTACTGTCTCAGTTTTTAGATATGGAAACAGAAAAATCACTAAGTCCCGTCGTTGGCAAAACAAGGAAGGTTCCCAAGGGACCTCTTTTTGGAACCCATCACCCTGTTTTGTCTGTTCTGTGTATTTGAAAACATAAATCACAAAAAAAAACAAAAACAAACACAAACAAACAAAAAACCCAAAACACCTGGCTTCTGTGACCCAGACACAGGTGTGTTACCATGACATCTACTTCTTTTCTTGTGTGATTTTGTTCTCAGGCTTCTGGTTGGTGAGTCTTTGCTATTGATGGCTTTTGCAGTATCAGCTCAGTGGAGTCTCGTTAGTGCCATCTTGTGTCTAGAGTGGGCTTTGCAGGAAGCAAGCTCCAGCATTTTAAGCATCTGTTTGGAGGGCAGGTTTTGGATTAACCAGATGTTAGGTCAAGTCATTAAACAGAACATTCTGGTAAGCTCCACCTCCAGTGTGAGAAGCTGATAGAATCAAACAGGTTTTAAATCCTCATCTGCTTGTCTCTGTCTGTAGCAGCGGCTCAGCTTCTCATATCTATTGTCCAGTTACCAGAGGCCCCTAGCAGTTCGGGTGGAAACCGGCACTCCAGACTTCGTTTGGGGAGGGTGAGCCTCACGGGCTGAACTTTTCCAGGGGCTGTAGGGTCCAGTTAGCACCCCCTGTGGCCTTAGACTGACTGTGCAGAAGTCGGGACTGGCCTTTCTGAAGGAGGAAGTGACAGACATGAAAAGTTCATAAGCTGCAAAGCCCATCACGTATTTCATTTGCCTTGTTTTTTATCTTTATTGCTTGCTTTTCTACTGCAGAAGCATCATGATGTGCACAGTGGGAAAATATAGAAAGAGAAGAGACCATGCACTCAGTCCTAACAGTTCCTGTGTCAGCCTTTCCCGCTCCCCGCTGGCCCCCCTGCGCCCCCCCCCCCCCCCCCCCCCGCAATGCCACAGACTGAGCTCAGATCTAAGCAAGGCCCCTCCCACTGAGTTACATGCGCCTCGTAATAAATTCTTCTTTTATAAATGCAGATTGGACTGTCTTGCTAAATTAAGCGAGGCTTAAAGTTTTATGCTTGCCTTTTAATTCTCTGAACAGAAACCTTTTACAGGGTAGGATGGGGCTTTGGCTTACTCTGTGTGCTGGGTTGCAACAGGTGTTAGGTTTTACTTGTCATAGAAATGGCACTTTGGGGAACAGCTTTGCTTGCTTATTTGTGTGTGTGTGTGTGTGTGTGTGTGTGTGTGTGTGTGTGTTTAATCTAGAGGCCTATTATTAAGACCGGTTCTTCAAATTGTGTGAAGAGATATGTAAAGAAGATGTAATCTTTTAGCACAGACACCTGGAAGGCCATCCTGCCTGTTTAAATCCTGCTTTTAATAAGAATATCTCCAGCGTTTAGACACTAGCTAGCATATGAACTGATTATGTAATGTTTATTGCATTTTGAGTGTACCCCAAATACTTTTTTTTAAGCTTTATGTATTCAGATGTGGCTTTCCTTAGAATGTCTGTTTGTCCGTTTGCTCCTTTGTTTGTTGGTAATGCTGGATTTTTTTGATATCACACATACATATTTGTCTACCTTGATCCCTGAACTGTCCCTATTTTGGGTTGTACTCTTTTCAGTCAATGCCATTTCTTGTAGATTATTTCCTAAAACCTACATGCAAACTTTGTATTGAAGAAAGTGTGTCAGTACATTAAAATGATTATCCTTAAGTTATGGGATTAGGGATTATTTTGTTTACTTTTCTGTAATTTCCAATTTTCAAAGTGAGATGTTCTGCTAAAAATAAAATGCTATTGATGCCATGTCAACTGCTTATGGGTGAAAGTGGTTAGGATGGTGACATGAGTTAAGGGAACCCGCTTCATTTGGATATTCACCACCAATCTGTGCAGTGTCTACAGCCAAAATTATTTTGATGTTAATGTATAACATGAAATTTAATAAGTCTTGTAATAAAAAAACCCAGAGCCACATCTCACCTCGCCAACTCCATGAATCCTGTTTGAAAGCCTCTAGGTCCTCAGCCAAAAGTGTTCTCTACTGAAAGGGCTCGAGCCAAAAAGCTTTAGTTCCTGTCTCCTCACGCCTTATATACCTTTTTCTGCCCAGCCGTATTAATTCCTTCCTAGTGCTGGGATTAAAGGCGTGTGACTCCCAAATACTGGGATTAAAGGTGTATGCAACCATTGCCTGGCTCTGTTTCTCCCCTAGTCAATCTCATGTAGTTCAGGGTGGCTTTGAACTCACAGAGAGCCAGACGGATTAAAGGTGTGTGCCACCACTGCCTGACCGCTATGTCTAATTTAGTGGCTTGTTCTGTTCTCCAATCTTCAGGCAAATTTTATTAGGGTACACAATATATTACCACATTAATGGAGATGTTTGAAAAGAGTATGTTGCACTTTCTTCTTGGAGAATGATAATAGAGTGGTTATGTTTTCTTAAACGAAGAAAGGTTATTTGGGGGGTTCCCCAGGACTGTGTCCACACTAGGTAAGCACTCTATCATTGGGCTACAACCTCAGCCCTCTTTGAAATTTTAAAATTTTGAGACAGTCTCACTAAGTTGGACACCCTGGCCTTGAACCTGTGGCCTTCCTGCCTCAGCTTCCAGAGTAGTTGGCATCACAAGTCTGTGCTTCCATACTTAGCCAGTAGATGATTTTTTCAAGTCTGACACTTTCCATCATATCATCTTTGAATGTAAGAAACTTCCAAGTAACACTTAAATGTGGTGGTGTCATTTCTATAAGGGAATAGAATTGCATTCACACAGGATGGTTTTAAAAGACATGGGACCTGCTGACTGCAGTCTGGGGCACTGGTTGTTTTTGGAAACTTTGTGTGCCCTCTTGGTTTCAGATGCCATCTCATGTACAGCTTTGTCTTGTCTTGGACAACGTGTACATCAGAATGAAGAAGCATGTGTTTACACATCAAGATGCATACACCCAGCAATCACTGATTTCAATACCTTGGTTATACCCTCCTGATGCCAGGAACAGCCCTCACTGCTTTTAGTTTTGAAATAAGATTCACCCAATTTCAGATCTTCACACTTACCTTCAGAGTTGGTTCCCAACAGACAGGTCCCTTAATGTGATGAAAATCTCAGTTGACCTCCTGATCACTGAAGATTATTATCCTTCTGTATAAACCCATAACATCTCTTTGTTTCTTTTCCCTGCCTACAGCACTGGGGCAGATTATGTTGTATGTGGATGGGATGAATGGAGTCATCAACCACAGTGAGACCATCCAGTGGCTTTACACTCTTGTTGGGTCAAAGGTAAGACACATTGGTTTTTTGGGTTTTTTTTTTTTTTTGGAACATCTTATTCAATTTGCAAATCATTGCCTTTTTGTTTAAATCCTCTCTGAAATGTTTTTGCAAAGAGCAATCCTATTCAGCTTTGCTCAAGTCCTGTCTTGGTATAAATGATGACTAATCCCTTGTAGGTTTTCAAGCAACGTCAATCACAGATAGCATATAAAGTTTGAATGCACTTCTTGTTTTTCTTCTCCTAAGCTGTAATCAAATGCCTTCAGCACTTTTGATTTCTAATATTTAATTCAAATATGATGCCATAGATAAAGTACCTATGTACCCCTTATATTTTGTGATCTCAAGTGGTACGATGCCACTGGTATGTGAAGTCGTAGATACCAGACAAGAGAGCCCCCAGTGCTATACTGGCCCTTGGATTTCCTTTCCCAGTGTTGTGATGAGGAAAAAAAAAACAAACAAAAAAACCAAACTTCTCCCATTTCATAGTGGAAAAACTATTTTCCCTTGGGCAACTGAAAACTTTTTCTTCCTCTCTCTCTTTTTGGCTTTATTTTCTATGGAAAATGGAAGTAATTCTATTTTGATGCTGGTGTAAGAGTCTTGGAAGTGGAGTGGTATGCTGGGTCTATGAGGTTGACTAAGCTAGGCTGGAGGGAGATTTGTATCTGCTCCCCTGTGGTGGTGGTGGTTTCTGTTTTCCTTGCATCTGCTTGGAGGCCTCCCTGGCTGACAGGTCTATCTGGAAGCAGGTCCCTCCACCGCTCTCTGGTTGATGCCCATGACCTTAAAAGCTAGAGAGGTGGGGGAGACTTTTTTTTTTAAAGGGACTTTTAATACATGTTACAACTGGATTAAGAAATCTTTGTAGCTCTGTTGTGGTCCTGACAAGACTGATGTGATGGCGTGGGGACAGGGAGGAGCGTGGATGAGCATGGGGAAAAGGGGAGTGTTGTGGCCTGAGTGTGTTCCCTAAACCCACGTGCTGGGAGTTCATGCAGCACTTTGGGGAAGTGTGGCCTTTTGTGAGGAGCTCAGGCCATGAATGGATCATTGCTGTTGTAGCAATGGCCTGAGAGAGTAGGCCTGTTCTCCTCTGCTTTTCTTTTATGTCAGGGGATGATGACCTATGTCCCTTCTGGTGTCTGCAGTGACCAGTTGCCATCTTGGAAGTAGAGAGGCTGACCCTCTCTGGCATGTGTCCCTGCCTGCCAACCTATACAGAATACAGTTCTGTTCTTTAAAAAAAGAATCACCTAGTCCTGGGTGTTTTGCAATGGCAACACTAATAGAGTAAGAGAGGAGAAAGTTCCAAAGAAGAGGAAGGGTTAGAAAGAACTAGAAACTTGGGGGGGGGGATAAAAAGACGTGGTGGTTCATATCTAAAACCCCTGTGCTTGGAAGGGTGAGGCAAGGATTATGGCAGGTTCAAGACCAGCCTAGATTATAGTATAAAATCCTGGTTCAAAACCCCAAAGGAAAAGAAAAACAGAAAAAGAGATGGGACAAGCAGGAGGTAGCAAACTCATCTCTTAGCCACTGGCCTGTGGCATCACTGCAGCCTGTGTTGATATTTTTCCTTTGACGTCGCTCTGCATGGTAAATGATCAGAAAAGGAGAACAAGGGGAAAATCTGCATTGCATTTAAAATAACACAGAGAATCATAAAACCAGAGGCTTGAAAGAAATCAGCAGAGGAATCATGCTTTCCCTGGCTGGGCCTCAGAGCCCTTACTTGTTCTGTAGTCCCTCCTCAGGCGCTGTCTGGGGTTGACCAGTTGTCTCTTCCCCACCCACTGGGTTCATTAGCACTAGACCACCTAGAACATGTGGATTGTCTTCACCTTTCATTTTCCCTAAGAGCCAGTCTTCAGGGCTAGCTGACTTCCAGGCATTGTGAGGCTGGGCAAATAGAGTCTGGTGAGTTTGTGCCTTGGGACCCATGGTAATACTAAAAAGGGGAATGCTAGTGACACCTGAAGCTGCTCTTCCATTCACTGTGATGTCAGACAGGATCTTGAATCATGCTCCTGGGTGTACTCAGTTCCAGGTCAGCAGCTGAACGCAGAAAACCAGCAGCCATTGGCAAGATTTTTTTTTCAGCACAGTTCTCCTGAGATGCCCCCTTCTCTACGAAACCCACCGACACCTCTTCCCTCTCTTGCATCTGGGTAGTGAAGGATCTGGAAAGAATAAGTGCCTTGCCCTACTCAGGACCCTTAGGTTTAGAGAAGGAAGCCTCAGTTCTGTCCTCAGCACAGAGATTAAACAATGCAACCACCACAGGTTTCCTCAGCTCAGGTGAGGAAGGCAGGGAAGCTGTATTCTAGCCTTTTCTGTTGACGGAGTCATGGCTTCTAAACCTGAGAGGTTTGCCTGCACAGCCTGCTGGCTTTGCCTTATACAGGCACAATGTTGATAAAGGAAGTGCTGGTTAGAAAAAAAAAATCCTGTTGTTCTGTTTTCATAACGCTGGATTTTCCTCCCATGAAAGGCAACAAGATGTGAATTTGCTGCCTGCCAGAGGGTCATTATGCAATGCACATTTGTAGTTATTTGAAACTCCAAAGAAGAAAATGATGCATTTGCAGCCAAATAATGACTTTTAAAAGAGAAAGCACAAAATGTTTTCAATAAAGTCTTTCTGTTTATATGGGCCCATCTCTAAACTTCTCAGTCAGAGGTAAGAGGTGGGTGCCCCCGCAATGATTTATTAAGGATGTGTGGGGTTTTTTTTCTTCATGCACGTGGAATTCTAATTAATTAAGGTAAACTGATTCTGTTTGTACAGCTTGACCTGCCTCTCTGTCTTTCATTCTGGTCCTGGGGGAGAGCCTCATCTCCTTACCAGGGATGGTCTTGATGTTGCCATGGAAACCACCCTTTCTGTATTCCTGTCTACCTTTGCTTGCCCTGCTCTCTATTTCTGCCAGCCCCACTGAACCTCATTCTTCCAGCTGTGTGCCAGGCTGCTGGTAGACATCAGTGGATTTCCTTTTCATCTGTGTGAAGATGGACATACTGTCCTGCTCTTATATAACCCCCTGCCAGCTAATTTGAGGAGGGATGAAAAGAGCCCTGGCAATACTGTTTTCTCTTACACACATTCATATTCATGTTCTCTCTAGGAAACTTCATTATGACAGTAGAGTGAACACAAGTGGAGTTGCATGGCATGTAGAACATGGGGTTAGAGGAGGGAGAAGATGGGAGGGATGGGGACAGTTACTATGAAGTGAGGGGGCCTAGGGAAGGGTTGCAGCCAAAGTGAGAAAGATGTGAAGACATCTTGAGGAGCAGTTCCCAAGGCCTAGTTTTCTGAATTTTGAAAACTTGAAGCTATAGTAAAACATGAGTCATATCTTGGCGTAAGATACTGCCTCTGGCAGGAACATGGAAGTTGATATAAAGTTTGGAAAGGATATTTTTGAAATGAAGGGATGTCCCCAAGCAGAGCTGAGCAGGTGATTGATTCCCAGGTGCTCAGTGTTCCCTGTGTCAGGAAACTGTGCTGATTGCTCAGGAGATGAGACTGAGTCGCCCTTTGGTCCTGTAGTCACAGTATTGTGTTGCTGATATGTGATTACTCCAATGGCCCACATGTAGGCTAAGACATGAAGAATGTTCTTAGTTCATAAAGTTATAGAATCCTAGCTGTGGTGAATGCTGAGTCATGTTAAAGTTGGTCTTGACATCACGAGTCACATTCCTGATATTTCTAGAAACAGAAAGGAAGTGGGTTGTGGCTCAACCCTAGTGGGACACGGGAGTTGGTAGGAAACCCTTCTTACAGGAGAGGCATCTTCATCTAGACCATTACCAAACACTGCATGTGTGCTGTTAGTCAGTCTCTCTGAATCCCTATGCAGGTGCTCCGACAGTTTAAGGGTAGCTGCCAGGGACTGGGGTATATACACATATATAGATAAATTCATGTACATATATACATACATATGCACATAGCCCAGTCACTCAAGAGCTGTGTGTAAGCACAAGGATCTGAGGTTGCTTCCTGGGACCACATTAAAAAACAAACAAACAAACCATGTTGGGTGTGGTGGTATGCTTGTAATCTCAGCACTGGGGAGGCAGAACCAGGGAGATCCTTCAGGCTAGCTGGACTGCCACCCTGGACTACTTGGTTAGTTTTAGGCCAATAAGAGACCCCATTTCAAAGTAAGTGAAAAACTAAAAATAAAGGTGGGTAGCTCCTGAGTAGTGACATATGAGGTTGACCTCTTGAGTCCACATATAGTCACATACACATGAATACGCACATCCATCCACATTTTAAAATTAAAAATGTAAAGATGGTCCTCCTGTAAGTCTGTCCAAGCAATAGTGTGTGTTTTGCTCTAGATGTCATGGGAACCTGATAACTACTTCCTCATTCTACTGGTCACCTGGTCACCACCTTCTTTTTGCAACTGGTAGAAGGTATACAGGAGCCTCCTGGGATAGAACATTTTCTTCCACAAATTTCATCTCTGCTCAGTGGGCCCTTTAAGCAGCAGACCCCGGGTGCTGGCTGACATGAGCCTGGCAGTCCATTAAACTTCCCTGGCTTTCTCGCATACATCATGCCTGCCAGGTCTTCTTTCTGCGTGTCCATGACTGATGGTTGTGTATCTAAATGCAAGGCATTGCAATTTTCCTCATTGATCAGACCACAGTTCCAGCCTCAAGATAATTGGGAATTCTGTCTTGGCCATTTATCATCTTAACTGTTAGTGCCAGTTTTCTATAACATAAATTTAATAAGCTATGCCTCTTTATTATAGACCAGAATGCCGAGGGGGGAGAGAGTGTGTGGATCCAGCAGCACAAGCTGCATGACGGCGCTGATTAGTCGGGGTGTTTTAGGGTCACAGTGAAGTAAGTGGGAGCTGCCTAGCTGACTGTCAGTCTACTCCTCTTCACTGCCCCCAATGCCTTTTCAAGGTCTTCCTGAAATCGGGATGTACTGCATCTCACAGCACGTGCTAAGGCTTTGGGGTCCAATG